AAAAAAAAAAAACAAATAAAAAAAAATACAAATACAAATATATTTAGCTTTAAGAGGGTTAGGCCTACCTAAAATTAAGGAACGCTCGACCTCGACACGTGATATCGAAATGGGCGAAATCGCCTCTTGATATCACTAACTCTCCTGACTCCTGAACCTGCAACGCGAGAAATCACGTTGCCTGACTTTCACAACAAGCTGATCCTCAACGTCTTGTGTAAGGTCAGAAGTAATGCGTTGCATCGTGTTGTTCGACGTTTGAATAGCGTATAGTTCCTTCACAAATGACTCGCCAAATACGACACGAGAAACATCCTTCATGCATGGTAACAGTAGTTCTGCATACGTATGCGGCTTTTCGACTTTTACAATGTGCAAAGCAGTGAAAAAGGATGCCCTCAGGGATTTCTCAGGTACAGTGGTGAGCCTTGATACAGTTCCTTTCTGAAGTTTTAGCGCCTCAGCCTATTCCTTGAAAATGAAATCAGAGGTTTAAATTTACGTTGGGAGATCTTGCTTTCCAAATGTCGCCTTAATTTGCGGGGAAGCATGGATCACAACATTTCACAACATGTCACGTTTCAACTTTCTCTTTCAGGATTCATCCAATAAGCAATTATCGTCATAGATACGATCTTTCCATCACTTGAATTGCATTCAGTCCAAGTAAAGCCCTGCTCCCATGAGAAGGGTCAGAGGCCATCGAGTAGCTGCTTCGTCAGGTTGAAAGTACTTTTTCCCTCCTGTGGTGGGAAGTATTATTATGTTTCTCATCTTCATGTGCAAATTAAAATCCTAACAATAGTGATTAACCTTTTCTGATATTTCTATCAAAAATTAGTTATTTTCCTGTCCCGGAGATGCGTGTGATGAGGCAGTCAGATTAAGCAAATTGCCATCACATCTACAGCTAACTCATATTCAAGAGTCAGACGCGCCATTTCCCTTTCTTATAGCAGCGATTATATGAATTTTCACCTCAATTTCATTTCACTCCCCATTGAAGTCACCTTGGAAAATTAACAATCCTCCCTATATCTTCCGAGCCAGAGTTTTCTGGAGGGTACTTGTACCGGATTAACTCTTATGACCGATTTCTTGAAGAATTCAAACACCTTCCCCTCTGGTGTCTGAGGGGGGGGGGGGGGGGGCGCAAGTAGTACAATGACTCTCTCCTATTCTCAAGAATGGATTCGACTGTTGCGAAGGCCGGAGAGAAAATGCGAGTGTGAGACGAGCACCCCAACCCGCGGATGCTTTCCACGAAATGTTTCTCGGGAATTCCCCAGCTCAGTCTGCAGCCCTGAAACTCAGCGACCCTCTCAACGATATAAAGCAGCACCACCTCCATCCCGTTCTCGAGAGTGAGAAGCTAAGCGTGTCGTATATTCCGATATTCACGAGTTTAGTCAGCGGCTCCATTAACGCTCTGCGCAGCAGCCGCTGACATTGTACGTCTTGCGCATCCCCCTCCCTCTTATTCACGGGGGGTCTTCACGCCTACGATATGGACTTTTAATAGAGCGGCACACTCATCCCGCATTAATCTCGACGATGTGCGTATCGTCCGTGAAGTTCATCTCTACCACTTTTCATGTAGGCCTATGAGTGAAATATACTCTAGAGAAACCGAATGGTTACTACGCGACCGACGGCATCTTTCCGAACTAAGAGTTGCTGTTCCATACAGGTTGAATCCCGCCGTTTTCACCCTCGGGAGTCACTTTCCTTATGAGAATGCCCATCAATAAAAGGACAGTCTTTATCTGATTAATAACGGATTCGATATCCCAATAAATCTATCCGATGATGAAATATAAGATGATGAGATCTCATCCCGGCGAGGCATTTATCCTTCCATAGGGATGGAAGGGAGCTATAAATGTAATACGCGGGGACGTTTTGCACGTCCCTGCTGAGAAGTCCGTATCGGATCCCAGGGTCTGTATCGGAGTGTGCGTAGAATGTATCTCTTCAGTTGTAATGTTATGGATAACATGGAAAAGACAACCTGGGAGTATTTGGTTCGGTGTTGTATAGGAAAAGTACTTGCCCGCCAAATAAAAGGCCCTGGGACCAATTCCCGGCCGCTATATCATTTTTCCTTTCGTCATGCAATCTGAACTTCCTCCCCCCCCCCCTGAGAACGTAATAGCCCCTATTACGTTCTCAGGATTAGATCCGACAGCCGCAACGGCCGGAGTGAAGGTGCGAGCTCGAGAGAGCGAGACAGACACCAGGAGCCGGGCAGTTTGCAACAACAACATCACTCTTTGGTTTCATGGTGTTGATCATCTTCCCGATAAGAAGCGCACGCAAAAACTGAGAGCAACGATAGGAGACCGATGGAATACATGCACTGCAATGGGGCAATATCGCGTTTTTCCTCAGCAGCCGCTTGGAGCGCTGCCTGCACATCGCCATCCATGTTGATACGCAGAGTGCAAGCGTGCGGCTTTCGAGAGTCCAGTCCTATTATATTACTGGTCCTTGGTATATGTTTAACCTCTTGCTACTCCGATGCTCTAGTTTGAATTAGGGAATTGATTAATAACTATGTAGGTAGTCCGTTGTTGTTCATCCTGGACCTACTCCTATGGCAAGCCTATCGATTTCTATTTCCAGCTGTGTCTCTTAATTCACGATAAGTCCACCTGGAAAAAGGAATTGAATTGAGTAAAAATGAAGGTGCCCGGCAAGGGCGAAAGTAGTTGGCCATAAGCGGCCCTGGCACTACACTGACGGATTTCTGCCTGGTGAGGGAACGTGGCGGCAAGTGGAATATACAGTTGCTGGCCCACTACCTATGGTAGGTGGAAGGCTACCATTCTCTTCCCATAATGTACCCGGTCCATCACCTACGTGCTACTTGGGTGGTCTCCCAAGATAGGCCCTAATGCAAAATCTCCAAGACCAAAACCTAGCTACGAAGTTAATTCCTGCCAGTAGCAGCTCGAGGACTCCAGTCGACATGACAATTTTCTCCATTTCCTGCAAGTAGGACCCGTACAACATATTCTCCCAAGGGGGTTGGCCGATCTAATAAAAATAGAGTACTCCAGGAAAATTCTATTTTCTAATTTTTAAATTTTCTATTTCAAGGTCCCTTCATTTCACACACCATGTATAATACTGGGGTATCAGGATCAGGAATATCTTTACTTTTCTTCTTTACCTCATCGTTCGTGCTGTTTCAACCCGACTGGAATCATACATGTGCTTAACAATTGTGAGTGAATGCGCTATTTTTTAATTCTAGATATCCCCATCAGCAGTTGCCTGTACCAGAAGTAGATCCTCATGCTGAGACGAGTCACCCTTCCCAGGTGGGACGATCTCTTAGTCGTAGTGACTCATTCTCATTTTCTTTATGATGTACGTGGAACCGCATATTTTCTCAGGAGCAGGCGACGTCAACGCATATGCTACAGCCACTCATCGACAAGATCAAGGTATGAATTACGTCAGTAACTCCTACTTTTAATTTGGTATCCACTTAGCAAAGTCCCACTTGAAAGTAGTCCCAGAAGTCATTGCGTATTGTTTCCTGTTGGAGGGTAGCTTTCGCCATAATGGCGATAATTTGTTGTGGTACCCCAAGAAAAGGCTTGAAGACTCATGGGGTCAAGTGAAAATTTTATATAAATTAATAAATCAGTAAGCACGTTCACACTCATTCACTGCTACCTTGTCCCTGTCTTTGATGGAAAAAAAAAACTAAATTCTAATAGTATCCCTGAAGATATGTTCCCCCAGGGCATATATCTGAAAATAGGATTTTCTTATGGAAATCAGGATCTCAAGAGCTACTTGTGTACCAAGTGGAACCTAACTCCTCTAGAACATGGTTAGAATTAGCGTCAGTCACTCAGTCAGTCACGATCGTCTGTATATTTTAGATGCAGCTCATGGTGCCTGCTAATCCCAGCAAGCCGGAAAGTCCTGCCCAGCAACAGGTTAGGCCATATCTTATCTCTAACGCATAACGCTTCGGAGGCACTCTTCTTGCTTTCCAGCCCAAACGAAAATTCCAGACATTATCTTCTTATCAATAGGTACATGAATATTCGACTGATTCTGGTTCCGGCAATTCGCCTGATTATAGTGCCGGAGATACGACTGATTCTAGTTCAGAATTAGAGGGGTCAAAGCAAGGAACGGCAAACAATAATGGTAAAGGGAAGAAGAAAAGCAAAGACGAGGAAGATAGGGAGAGTAAATCATCAGATGATTACTCTGAAAGCGAAGAAGAAGACAGATTAAGAGAAGAACAGAGAAAGAGGCGATGGGAACAACAGAGGAAAAAGATGGAAGAGGAGCAAAAGCGGAATGAGGAACGATTGAAGGAAAGAGAACGAAAACACCTGACAAATGGCCTCCTCCGTGTCCTAATTACAAGTGAAGATTCCTCGCGGGATTTAAAGGAACTGCTGAAGAGCTTGAGAACCACAGAAAGTGAGATTCAGGAAATCATTGAGAAAGATCGACGGTTTTGTCGCTCGCAAAACAAGGTATCATTGTATATAAATTTATCGATATGCAACAACTACATGACTCCTGAAGGCTGCAGTAAAAAGTCTTGCAATTCCTTCCATATTTGTCCAAAATATGTTGTTGATCTGTGCATGGACGGTCGATGCGAAATGGGACATGACATGAATAGAATCCACAATCGCAAATTACTGAAGCGACTTCAAATTGAGAAGGCAGACTCCATCGTCTTGAAGCAATTGAAGAAGGAAACTGTAGTCGCCCCTGATCCATGCAATGACTACAACGTCGACGGTAATTGCAATCAAGGGAATCAATGTATCAAGCTACACCTGTGTGTGGAATACATAATGGGAACGTGCGAAGAATGTCCTATAAATCATGAGATTCTGGATCCTCAATGTGCAAAATTGCTAAAGCAGGCCAACGTTAATCTAGAGCAAACCTCAGCAGAATTAAAATGCTTCCTAAAAGGAAAATGGTTATTCAACGTGGATGGGATTTTGAGAAGAAAAAGAGCCAGGGAAGAGGAAGTGAAAAGGATATACCACGCCGATGAAGACGAAGGAGGAGTGGACATACCACAAGTATGCATGGCGTTGCTGGATGGAACCTGTCAAGATGCAGAGAATGGACGATGCAAGAAGCTGCATGCGTCCATGTATTTTCATTGGCAAGTCCGGAGTCCAAGCACTGGGAAATGGATTAATCTGAGCAAGTCACAGAGTCTGATCCTGGAAATGGAATATGCGAAAGGAACAAGTTTCCCTCTCCCCATCGAAAGGAACAAGTTTCCCTGGAGGAATTCAATCCAGACGAACTTCATGTCATCAAGCGGAAGCAACTGAGGGAACTATTTACAGGGAATGCCTACGAGGCCGATTTCATTAACATGAAGTTAAAGGACTCAGCGACAAATGTCACTATGGACCTGAGAAGGCTTAGCACAGAGTCAGCAGGAAAGGTTCAAGATGGAATGAAGCATGCCACTAAGTGAATATCCCTCGCATGCCTTTCATTTATTGTAGATGCATGGAAAATAATATCGTTCTCCTTTCAGATGGTTGTGGTATTATAAGGATGGCGGAGGAGCTTGGGTGGAATACGGCTCAGGCAATACGGTTATAGCATCTGCAGACATTGAGCGGGAATTCTCAACCTCTGAGGGAAAGAAAAACATGACTTCGGATGTCGGAGGGGATCACTATGAGTTCGACTTCCAGAGGATGTTAGAAAAGAGCACTGTTGTGAGTTTTCCGATATCGAATGATTTAAAGTGTTATTGTGATCTCCAGGAATTTTTAGAACAAAGGCGCTTGCCTGTTTGTAACAGAAAGGAATCCAGATCGAGAGAGAAATACGTCGCAGACCTGCACCTCCGCCTTTCACTCCTGCAACCCCTGGCGTATACAAGCATATCCCACCCCATTGGGATCCCATGAAGGATACGGAGACCGTAAAATTGGTTCCTCTGGTGGCTGGGTCCGACGAATTTCAACGCGTCAAACAACTCATGGGAGGTCTAAATGTCCAGAAAGTAACTAGGATCCAAAACCCATATCTATGGGAGATGTACCAGAACAAAAAGCTAGTGTACCTTAAGAAGTACAAAAACGATTTAGGAAAAGTAAACGAAATGAATCTTTTTCATGGAACCGCTGCGAACAACATACCCTCGATCTGCGAGCAGAATTTCGATTGGAGGTTTCATGGGACCGCTCACGGATCGTCATATGGCCAAGGCACTTACTTCGGAACTGCTGCTCAAACATCTGTTGGTTACGCAAGACAAGGAGCGGGTATATTCGTGGCAAAAGTTCTGGTAGGTTTAGCCACTCAAGGCAATGCCACAATGACAAAACCTCCACCTGGTTTTGACTCCACTCATGGGCCAAGCATGATCATCAAATATCACGACCAAGACGTCTACCCGGAATATCTCGTGGAATTTTAAAGTGAAACATGGACAGCATGCGCAAGACAGCATTATATCTATTCTCATGCTCCTTTCTTAGACTAAGATTCCAATCCTGATCTACCACGTCAAATCAGTTCCCATGATTATCTTGTCCTATGCCTTTATGTACAATGTGATCGACGTGGCAAGTCTTCCTTGACAATAACGAATGATTCTCGTCTTCCTAAAGAAACACATCCCTTTGGAAACTTATAGGAACTACAAATTTCTCTGAAGAGCATATGTGGGTATGTTAGCCGTTACGTATGATGAAGTGTTAAACACTCCCATTCTACAGATGAGTCTGAATGGAACACGTACGTTGTGTCCAAGTTGTGCGTCACAGAATATATTTATGTCCAAGAAAATGAAGGCATTGACTTCATCTTTCACGAACTGGTATTGCATCATTTTTCAGTTAGGTGCCGAATAATGCATTGGAAGCAGCCGCAGAGCCTTACCTCATTTTTTATGATGAGAAAGAAGGGATCTATCATATCGCTGTTTTAAGTCTTATTCTGCCCTTTTTTCCACTCTGCAATATCCAATTAAAAATTTTTTTTAAATTATAGGCAGCAGTATATCCATGCTGCAGATGAGCCACTGCGAGGAAAGGTTTCTTATGTCCACACTGCTTTCTTGAATCTGTTTCCTTTAGAGCGTTCATGTCCTCATGCCTTATCTCTGATTTTTCATCATCGATGACTAAGCATACTGTCATTAATGGCCTACTTGAACGCAATTGAAAGTGGGGAAAGAGCTAAACGTTTGCAGAGTATTTTCTCTCTTGGTTTTCCAATCACTCTAGGATGCGTACTCATTCAAGGACTCGTACTCGTTGGGAAGGGCGTACTCGTTCAGGACCCCGTAGCCATGCATGTAACGTCGGCTGAATAAACTACACAATAGTTGTAACTTCAGTAGATGTTCAACCTTCTTACAATTGAAATTAGGTTCGAGCAGCTTTGAGCATCAGATGTAACACTGTCACAAAAGGACTCTACTACTCAAATTTATCTCATTTCTGTTAAAATCTAGGCTAAGAGTAGTTTTTCCCTAGATTTTAACAGAAAACTAGGGATGCCCAAATGCCTACGTGAAAGGGAATTCATGGTACCAATAATTTCATTGGGTGAATAACTATCTGGACATTTTAATGAGAGTCCAGGACTATACAGAATGATTCTTTACTGGCTAGCCAACCTGTAGAAGACTTCCACGAACTTCGGGTCGGCCTTGGCCAGAGGTATCAAAAAGCCGGCCTGCTAAGCAATTGGTTTGGAAAAAGGGTATCAATTTAAAACATGTTCGCAATTAAAACTTTGGTGCAAGATTTGCTAATTTGGAGCCGAACATCCCTGAAGGGCTACATTCGGCGCCAAGCGAACCAAGTTTGAAGCCCCTAGCCTAAGCTAAGCGTGTAACATTGTGGGGAATTCACAAGTTCAGCGGCTCATTTAACGCTCTATGCTGCAGTCGCTCTTTCCCGTTCTTGAGGGCGGACCCAACAGTCGCGAAGGATTGAAAAATTGCGAGTTCGAGAGGGAGACGGAGACCCCAATCCATGGAGGTCATCCACGAACTCGGGGTCGGCCTTGGCTAAGCGTGTCGCAATTTCGGTATTCACAAGTCAAGAAAGCGACCCTATCAACGCTCTACGCAGCAGCCATTCATACATTGTTTGTCTTGTCCATCACCCCCCTCCCTCACCTCACCCGCGAAAGTTTTCACGCATAGGATATGGACTGTTGTTGAGCGGCACTCCCATTCAGAATCAGACCGCCCAGAAAGGGTGGAGGGCATTCGGGACAATCTGCCTCGGGCCTCGGCCATCAAGGGGCTCCAAAGGAGGCATTTAAGGGTCCTCTGGTTTTGTTTTTCCCCGGGCCTCAGGGAACCTCTGAGCGAATCTGCTATTATCTCTTATTGATCGTGACCTTATGCGTATTGTCCGTTAATTAATCTCCACCACATTCATGAAAGGCCCATGAGTGAAATATACGCTAGAGAAATAGGATGATTACAACGCGGCCGACGGTGCCGTTCATATCCCCAGATAAGCTGTTTTATCCCGTCCAGATGGAATCCCTCCGCTTTCACCCTCGGGAATCACTCTCTTTGTGAGGGCGCCGATCAATACGAGAAAGAGGTTCTGATTGATAAAGCGGCCGAGATCCCGATAAATGTAGGGCGGAGATCTCATCCCGAAAGGGGACAACAAGTATTATGAGCAGGGACGTGTTATTCAATACATGTCCCCGAAGGAGGGTGCGCCCTGAGGTGTAAACACCCCCTTAAGGTCGTAATATCCCTTTAGAGCTACTTTGAACCCAAATGAAGATCAGAGAGAAAGAAATGCATCAGTGGAAAAAGCAGGAAACGTTTCTTCTTCCGTTTCGATGATATAATTAGTATGAATTATCCTAATTAGGTACCAATATGGTTGACGCTGACTCCAATTCTAAGCCATTGTTGTGCCAGCATTTCTCACGTATTAATGATTCTAAACTCACGAAACTCACGCAATGCATTGATGAAATATATATTCAAGCACTGATGGCTTCAGATTTTCATGGAATAGATGCAGAGAATTATCAGCCGATTGGGCAACTTTTCCAGCATTTTCCTCTTAAGTATGTACGCAAAATAGCAAAGAAATCAGTGCATTTGGGAACCAGTTCAAAAATGCCACGATCATTCCCTGAGGAGGCATTTGAAGTATCTAAAGCAACAAAAAATACTCATGAAGTTACAAAATCAACGAAGTTATGGCTTCTCGAAGAGTACTCTTCGTGATGAAACTCGTTTATGGAGAAAACCCGAAGGAAAATGAGCCTCAATCTACTCATAGATTCCGATGTCTAATGAGCACCTGGCTCGTACAAATTACCCTGAGAATACTCACATTTGTCGGGAAAATCTTTTATTATGACTCGCAAAACTCAAAGCTCCGACGACTATTTAGCTGAGTGGTACAAACGGCTAATATCGGAATATTTGACACATTCCCTTGTAAGTCTGCCATACGGCACTTCCAGTTGCTCAAATAGTCTCAAAACAGCAACGTTGTTGTTTTGTCATTGAAGTGACTGACAGCCGAGTAGATCGTTTTGTGCCAGATATTTATTACACCGCTCCTTAGTAAACGCATTCAAAAATTCATTTGTGTTTCTTGTTTTGCCATGCCGGCATTTCACTAGTTGCACTGGTAATGTGAGTCATAAATAGAGTCTATCAGTTCAACATTTTCGACGTACTTTTGTGAAAATATTCGAAACAGATGGATGTGTCCAAGGGCCTGAGTCTTGGCTATGGAGACGTTTTTCTTGATAATCACAACTTAACCAGAAAAAATAGAGAACTTTCCTCTAATTTTTCTATCGCACATCAATTGGGCATGATAATACTATAGCCTGAACCAAATTTTGAGGAAACGATAATTTTCATGAACCTCGACCGTGCTACCTTAAATGAGAGGGGGGGGGGCGAGAGCGCGAGACGTATTATGCCTCTCTCCCCTTCTTGAGGATGGATTCGACAGCTACTATTGCCAGAGAGAAACTGCGGGCTTGAGAGAGCGAGAACGATCCCCGGTGCTAGGAAGGAGTAGGCGCCGCGCATGCGCACATAGCTGGCGGATATACAGAGGCCCAAGCATCCATCCATCCGCACTACGAATATATTAGAATGCGCTAAGGAATTTAATGGTAGGTGTTGTCTCTGGTCCATAAAGCTTTTGCCCTTCGAAGAGATAGGCCAGGTAGCCCATGAGCCTCTAGGGTTATGCTTTCCAAGATCGTCGGCTTGGTAGCCGATAACCCTACGAGGCTTTTCCTCTCCGTGTCTAGATTGGGCGCGTTTCGTGATCTGCATTAATTGTAGCGCAATATAAGCCCGCTCACGCTGCGCGGAGAGCAGCGCGTGTACACGTCGAACCTTTAACCACATTTGAGTTGCGTTGGCTAGGACGCTCAACGTCAGTCCAACCGTTTTACATGATCGCGACCCCATGAATTTGAAATGGAACGTCCTGTTGGTTATTGCCTGGCATTTCATTTCAAAGCGGAAAAAGGTAAACTTTGGCAAGGTTGTTGTCTTGATCATGTTACGATTTTCCATTCGAACCCATTGAAGTTTCCACCAGAGTTGAAAACGCTGTTGTGGGGAAGATGAAAACGCTTGCAATTTTCGCGAGTTCAACGGAAAGTACAACAGCGCAACAGAGTTTGTTTCCTTTCGTGCAACGATGGTTCACATTATCGATAATGGTTCTTACTCCCTGGAAGCATCTGGTGTGGTCTATTTTTGAATATTTCTCTTCGACCCGTACACATCCATTTGATGATGTATTTCTTCCGTTAAGTCAAAATCAGCAACTAGCGTATGCTCCAACTCGTGATATTTTCCTATAATAATAAAATTAGCTGTCGTTCCTTCAGGCTTAGAACGGTAGCTCCTTTTCCCTTCCCCCTCGAACTGCCGGATATCGTTCCGAAATTATGCCAGATTCAAGAATACTTCAACCCTTGTATTAGCGTCTGGATCTTCTGTTTTTGTATCATGAGACGTTTTCGTGCTGTGTTCATGAGGTGAGCTGAGAACGAAACGATGGTTAGCAGTGATTGATCGATGTGGTGGGATATGAAAATATCTTACCCGGACATCCCTGAATTAACAAGATGGCGCTCGCCATGAATTTCATGCTTCAAGGAGGCATTTCCTCCTCAGACTCATTCGAGACGGTTCAAAAAATTCCAGATAGGTCTGATGTTCTGCGTCCTCTCTCAAATGGTTTGTGAAACTATGAATAGGCCTGTGATTCGCCTAACGTTACGCATCCTCAGCGACATGTCTCGAAGTTCATGGATTCATCATTAAGGGCCTAATTTGCCCCATAAGTCGAGAATTGAATAATTGTTAGAGAATAAAGGTAGGCTTTTGGGTGACCTGAGTGCAGTTTGTCGGTTAGGCCTAGGCCTAACGTTAGCTAGTCTCAT